GTCACTTTTGTTGTGATTGAGAAGAGAGAAATCATCAAGAATCCTTGAGTTTTGTTCTTTAGATTTTCCTTTAGCAGAGTGCATTGTTTGTAATTTTCAAATAAGTAAGAGTTATTACACTCAGAACCAAATAAGTTGTTTTGTCAAGAAATAGCCAATGCAAATTATATCCAGGAATTCCAAGAGATCATAATATATTATAAAGGAAAATTTTTTTACTCCAATGTTGCTTTTAAAATGTTTGATTTATTAATAAAATTAATTCTTTTTTTTTCGCTTGTGCTTTGTTGATGCCTAAAAAGGCAAACGATCGTCATACACGTGATCAAAATGTCTTACCTGGGGTTGGGGGAGTAAGCGCTACTATTAAAATGATATTAGCTAATATATGTCAGCGCCCTTATGAATTGATTATAAAATAATAATATTTAATATTAGTATATCCATGTTCATTCACCATATTATATTGTGCTCAAATAATTAAGTGCACATATAACTATTAATAAAACAAATGTTAATAGATAGATATGAATAAGATGTCAATATTCCATTCAATAAAGATTACATCTACCTGCAGTCTTTCTTAAATTGATAATATAAATGATAGCCTTTATTAATAATGGAGTAATAAATTACTTATTTGTAATTAATTGTATATAAAAATAGTTTAAGAATTCCATAAAAAAATGCCTCTTTAGTAAATTCCACAGGTATTGATGTGTTAGAAATGCCACATGTTTAAATAATCTATGCTTTATTTTACATCTAATGGTAGAGTCTCATCTGTGATTGTATTGAAAGAAAGTTTTTTTAATAAAGTGAATTTAAATTTCTTTGCTTCTAGTGAAATTTGTAATAATTTTTTTTATCAATTGAAAACGTGATTTTACATATATACAAATCTACTTTAAAATTATATGGCCGCATAACGTAATTTCGAGATCGTCACAGAGTTAGTCGTGATAAATCGAACTTTAATGCTCACTCACTCACTATACGTATATATAAACAACTGTTTTTTTGGAAAACGAAGACCTTGCCGATACGGGACTATTTACACGATTTCGTGTTTTTTCTTTGTTATTATTATTATTACTATCCATCATTTATACAGTCAAACCTCTATGAAACACATAAGAAAATGGCATTTAAAATTCTTTATACCAAAATTACTAATCGCGTTTCAACGAATTTTATATTTTTATATATATGAAGCAAAAAAGATCGCTGTAACTCGAATTTAATTATAATTCGTTGAAACGAGGTTGACTATATATCTATTAATATTATTATGTAGTAATGTGCAGGTAAGTTATGTAAGTGTAATAACATTGCGTTTGCGTCAAATTACATGTTTACATGTAATTATTAAGCTATAATTAATATAAGCAACCGAATACCTTTAGTTGTAAAATGACTTTTTCTTGGGTAAAGAAAATAATAACAAGTTTCGACTTGGAAAACAATAATTCTATTAAATAACCCAAAACTATTTGCTCATCGATTAAACTGCAACCAAATTTTATGAATTGGATTATCAATTTACCAATTGCAAACTTGTTCGGATTTGAATAGGTGATTAAAATCGGTTCCAACCTCAATTAAATTATAAAATAGCTATCATGGAAAAATTATTGAATTCGTATACAATATTAAAATTATCTATCAGGATAATGCTATATATTAAATCACAAAAATAGCATTACTATATTCATCCTATAATTTGGGAGTCATATGACATGTTTTTCTTAACATTAATTGATGATATGTTTATGAATTCAATCGGTTTGCCGTGGAAACACCAATCTTTACATCACCAAAATAAAAAATAAATTTTCAATACAGGCAAAGAAAGAAAATAATCTTTGAGCCTTTTCCCTATTTGTGTGCACAAAAAAAATTTTACCTAGTGCTACAAAAGTATAAATACAACTTTCATGCAAAGGTCATTTTTGCAATTGATTACTAATGAAATATGTCAATCATTTCATTAAATTCATTTTTTTTAATTAATGCATAAAATTTAGCCAATCAATTTTCTAAAATTGAATTTTCAAACAATATTATTAAAGAACTTGAATTCTTTAAAAGTACATTATATAATAATGATGATGATTATGTAATTATATTTCAAATCATATTATTTGAAATCAAAATTCCAATGATAAAAAAAGGTTGCTATAATTTTTCCATACTACTCGCTCATTCTTATTCATTCATTCAACTTGGCTGCATTCATATTTATTTGCATTCAAACAGGAAATTTTAGTTCGAATGTTTATTTTAAAAATCAAAAACTTGAAGCAAAACTCGATTAATAATTAAGCAACCAAAGTAATTTTTTTTTTATTTATTCATATAGTTAAGAATGGCAAATAATATAATATAATTAATATATTTTAAAGACTTCAAATATTCCTTGATAAATAAGTTTATCTGTATAATAATAATAACATGACTGCTTCAATAATAATAAAACTATTTATAAAAAAAAGTATACCGAATTTCCTCTTTTGTTTTTAAAAAAATGGAAGGAAATAATAACTATAGAACGACACCAACTTTCTGCGCCGCAACGACAGTTTTTGAGAAAAAATTTACAATCAAAATGAAATGCCAATAAAAAATCTTATTTGTCACACGTTTGTGAAGATTGTCAAGTGTAGGATATAATATGTACATATAGTTAATTAAGATAATATAAGTATATAACAATTAATATACCAATTGTATTAGAAAAAGGAAATTTTGTTCAATAATATGGTTCGGTTTTTTTCTTGCTGTTATCACATGATAAAAGTTCAATCGCACAAATTTCGTTCATTTTTAATATTAATATGAAAAATTTGTAACACGTCACTTTGGAGGTAACAGTTAAGCTCGTGCAACTTTGAGACTTAATTCTTCCACAACAACATGCATGACATATCAACAAAACGAAGATGTAACTTTGTAAAGAAAGGTCATAGCTTCAAAATTACATCTTGTTTTTTTGGTCATGTATGGAGGAGTTAAAGGATCTGCAAGACCAATAAAAGTTGTAGGGACCTAGGCGTCCTGCAAATTATGATAATAATATTGTCCGAAATTAACCCACATAGTAGTCAAGGATTATACCATAAATGGAAATCAATTCTAAAATAATTTACAGTCACACCTCAAAATTTAATTGGCCTTTGACAGTCATTTCTACAAAAAAAATTGCGACATCATATAATAGTAATAGTACCATATGGGGCATACCAGACAAAGTGAACATTTGTATTACCAAGAATTTCAGGGATCATTATTATCACAATTGTAATGCAATATCCCATTTGTTATCTTAAGTGATATATAGAACTACTCCTATATAAAAATAATTAATATGAAACTCATTTAGATCAGATCTACTATGGGACCCAAGGATTATAGTATAATCAGAAGTATTTTGAAGAAAGAACAAAGTGAAAAGATTGCTCATTATGTTTTCAAAATAAATATTTCCATATACAAATACTCATTATAGGTCCGTGAAACTAATATAGGCGAAAAAATCCTGTTATTGAATTTATTCAGAGAGTAGATATATAAATAAAAATATACTTCTATTTTTCTTCTATTTCTTTTTCATTTTAAAGATTTAAAATTAACATGGAAAGTCCATTAAAATTTTACCAAATGTAAGACCAATATATAACTTGATAGAATTGGGTTTAGAGGATTATGAAGAAAATGATTTAGTTCTTGATACCACCATACATGATTTGATGATCTTTTTTTTCAAAAAAATAATTGTTGACAACTCGAATAAATATTTACACGGATGTACCAGTAACACAACCAAGTTACAATATATCTTATTTTTTCATTTATTTAAAATGTTATGGAAGAAAAGTTCATAATACCAGATTTGCAATGTCCTGCAAATGTTGAATATTATTACGCCCTTTTTTCAATCATGGACCAGTTAGAAATGCTTCTGTGATCAAAATTGTTTGTTTGTTTTAACAATTGCATAGTTTCTACATTGTAACAATAATAACAATAACAGTCATTTCTATATTTAATATATTAACAAGCCCTGATCAATATTAATATAATCTTATTATTATGAAAAGAAAGTTTTTTTACATGTCAGTTTGAAAGTTAATTTATGAATGTAAAAAATGTAGAATTAATCCTTTTCGAAACACAGAAAAAAATATTTAGAATTAAGCAATTACACTATTTAAATAAACGAAAATTTAAAGCTCTGTTCCATTATTAATTAATGTTATAAATCTAGTCGCTATCATATGTTTTCAACATATCAATAATTTCGAGTTAATTTTCAAAGACGAAGTTTCTATTCTTTTGATTAATTCAAAATTTTTCTTTATAATGCTTTGTATAAGATATTGTGCTTTCAATATATCCACTACCGACTTATAAAAAGTTTATCGTTCAAATCATCATATGGAATTCTTAAGCGATCAAATCAATCACGCACGATGCAAAGGAAAGTACTTTCGATCAATCAAATAAAATTTTAATATTGAATCTATAAAACAATTAAAAACACAAGTGATAAAAAAAATTTAGCTTAAAAACAAAAAGTTTGTACTTACTATATGAATGAATGGCAATGTTTTCAATTTCCATATAACTCCCACCATTTTAAAAGCATGACGGTACATGTTATCCCACGAATCTACAAAATTTCATTAATTTCTTGTGATCATCATTTATATGAACTAATTGAGCAACATCGGATTTTCCGGGGCCATATGATATTTCCCCAAATAATAACTCCCAATCTAGTATTTTGCCATCATAAAAAATATGAATGTCTGGTTTTCTGTTAGGACCAATAACAGACCCATTTCTTACTTTAGTTGCCTGACTTGTGCTACTATCCCTGAAAAAAAAGTAATTTCAAAATTAAAAAATGACTAATTCACAAAGGAAATTAATTTTAAGAAGTTATTAGATCATTTACCATTGATGTGAGATTTCACATAGGTCCCAAAGAATAAATTTTTCCATTGGGTCCATTATATCATGGCTGTATGTTGATTCTAAAACTTTTCCAGATTTTGTGTACATGCTTTTTTTCCAAATTTGTAAAAGACAAGAAAGATTATACATGAAGCCGAAACTATTTTGACCATTTGCAGGTCTGGTTGGAATATGTCGGAATAAGGTCAAAACTGATTTTTACTATGTAATTGCCTCAAGTCAAAACATTTTGACTTCATGTATAGACAAGATACTAAATGTCTAGATGCATTAAACAATTCAAAATTAGCTGATTGATAAAATTCAGCTGAAATTTGGTGTTGTTCCTTCTTTTGTATATATTTATATATGAATTCTGAAATTCCATCAGGTAATGGTTCATTTATTGGTTTTTTGCTTATTTCTTCCCACCTATCAGTCAACTTTAATTCAAGCACAATATTTTGATTGGACCAGTCCAAAATCCATCAGTTCTCGATAGACCAGTCAATTTGCCAACCCTGGGGAGGATCCATTGTATGAACTTTTTTTAAATTCTCTTCCTGGCCTATAAAGAGAGTATTATTAAATAATATAAAGTTGATACTGAAAATAGATTTTTCATGGTCTGTAAATAATAAACTTTCATTTTTATGCTTTAGTCCTACTTGCACACTTTCTGTAAATGGATATAAATAAACATACACAAATGATTTGTGCAACAAACATTCTAAGAAAATCAAATTTAATTAATATCATATATTGATTGGTTAAGATAATCATAAAAAAAAATTATTTTTGGCTGGTGTATTTTTTTATTATTAATAGTATTATTAATAAAATATAATATTTTTGGTGACCAGCTGTATTTATTATTATGAAAATATTTTTTTGGAGACCTGCTGTATTTTATTAATATTAATATACATATAAAGAAGTTAATTTGAAAAAAAAATATTGTTTTTTTATTGTAAGTTTTTTTATCAAGTTTTTTAAAATTTTTAGGTAAGTGATATATGATATGGCCCATTATTATTATACAGAAATTTAATTAAATATTAGAGTAAATCATTATAGCAATAGAGAGAAAGTCATTGTATGAACCTTATTATTTAAATTGAATTTATAAAAATCACCAGATTTTTTCAATAAGCAAATCATTTAAAAAAAAATGGTTTTTTCTTTTTTGGAAAAAGATGCAAATGCAAGATAGTTTTCTCTGAATCAAAACAAATGATAAAAAAACAAGATTTTTTTTTTCAAATTAATTTCTTTATATATATATATTAATATTAATAAAAATACAGCCAAGAATATATTTTTTAAATATGGATCGTAAAAATCCAGCAGGTCACCAAAAGTATATTTTTTATTATTATTATTAATAATAAATATGGCAGGTCATCAAAAAAATTTTCATAATAATAATATGGCTGGCCACCAAAAATACACAGTGAATCTTGATTTAACAGACCTTGATTTAGCGGATACTAATTAAAAATCTCAGTTTTACAGATAAAGTTCAAAGAATGGTTTCATAATAAACCTTAATAAAAACCTTCTTGATATAATGGATATCTCAGTTTAACAGATTTTTGGAAAATTTTCCCTAATTGCCCAAACTATCTGTTAAATCAAGATTCACTGTGTATTCTTTTTTAATATTGTTGTAATTGAACTATGTGAAATCATAATTAAAATTTTGGGTGGGTGTTTGGATATGAAATTCCAGTGTTGGCAATGACAGTTATTTAAATACAGTAAATAACCAGTTCAAAAAATCATTTGAACTTATGAACTTTGGTTCAAATAAAATCACATGACATAAATTGATTGATTTATGTGCACAAAGCAACAGGAGATACCGTCCTATATAAGGAATGGATTTTCACAATTGATTTCAATTTTTTTTATACAATTTAAAATACTTTTACAAGGGTATTACATAGCCCATTCTTGCAATAAATCATGTGTAAATAATTACACAAATTTGAAGTTTTACACTTTGTTGCTGTCATATCTTTTGAATCCCTTTGAATCCCACAACTTTCATAATATGATTTACTTGAAGAAAAAATGTCTGAAATTAAACATTGCACAGAATGTAAAACCATTAAATCAGCTAAATTTCGTCAACTGAAAGGCAATAAATGGAAAGAAGCTGAGAACAACAACTTAGTGAAAGTAATGTGTTGTTTTATGTAACATTTTTTATATGAATTTTGTAGAAAATCTTTTAAAAAGAGAACATAGGAGGGTAAAAACCACAGATGTGGATGGGGAAGAGGAAGAGGTAAGTAAAAAGGTCCTATATACAATTTTTGATGAAATACGAAGATTGCTCCAAGAAATAGAACTTTTTTATGATACAAAGGAAAGTTTGACGAAAGAACAGCAACAAGCATATGATCTCATTGTTAGAGATAAGGAAAACGTTTTCTTCATGGGGGCAGCAGGGATGGGGAAAAGTTATTTACTATCAAAAATAATAAATACTCTAAAAAAATTGTTTGGGGAAGGTACAGTTTCTGTGACTACAACCACAGGAATTGCAGCTGTTGAACTAAATGGAACAACATTACATTCATTCTGTGGGATAGGATTGGGACAGTAAAAGAATTAATTGAGAAAGTTGAAAGCTACTATCCCAACATTTTACGTTGGAGAGCTACACAGGCATTGATTATAGATGAAGGTATAATATATTTATTTTATTTTTTTATTTTTTGATTGATCAATAAAACATAATAATTTAATTATTGAATATAGTGTCAACACTTGATGGTGAGTTGTTTGACAAATTGGAAGAAATTGCATGTTCTGTTCATAAAGACAACAGACCATTTGGTGGCATATTAGTAAGTGTGATGAACAAATAACATACATTTTATATTGATATCCAATAATTTAACATTTTAGCAATAATAACTTTCAATTGTTATGCAAATATATTAATGTACATATCTGTATATTCTTATTAACTTTATTTATTAGTTGATAATTGCTGGTAATTTTTTCCAGTTGCCACCAATACGCAATGATAAATTTTGCTATGAAGCAAATTCATGGCATAAGTGTTTTAAACACACAATACAGTTATCAGTGGTTTTAAGGCAGAAAGAACCAGGTAAAAATATCTGTTTGGAAGAAAATATGGGTTGTTCATTCAAGGACCAAATATTATTTGTATTATATAGTTCTATTTGTTTGGTAGATTGTTCTAATTCTAATTTTAATTCTATAGAATTTATTAATATGCTAAATGAGATAAGAATAGGATTAGTGACTGAAAAATCATTGAATATTATGGAAACGTTAAAACAACCATGTGAATACTTTGATGAAATTCTGCCCACTAAGCTATGAGTTAATGAATCATTCATAATTGCACCATACACATACAGTCACCCAACTTGAATCCAATAGAACATTTATGGGCAGAACTTGAAAGATGACTCAAAAAATCAAAAAGAAAGCCTAAAAATAAAAAGGAATTGTTTAATATTTTAAAAAAGGAATGGGGTGAAATAGATAAACAATATTATATTAATTTAATATCAAGTATGCCTAGGAGAATACAAGAATGTATTAATAGTAATGGTGGCTCTATAAAAAAATTTTTTTTTGGGGTGGTCCATGACTTTTGGGAAGTGAGTGATTTTAGAAACTCTTTTTTTTTAATAAAATAATTAATTGCTAAACATATTTTAAAACTAGTAGGTGAATCATCTAACATGGACAAAGAAAATTTCCCATCATCATTATCACCACCACTTCCAATAGTTTTTTCTGAAAACACATCAATCATTAATAACAAAAGGAAAAGAACATTACTATTACAAGCACAATCTAAACAATTGCAGGCTGAAGCAAAAAAATTGCAAGCTAAAGCTAAGGGTCTGAAAGCCAAATCAAAGATATTGGAAGCCAAATCAAAGATGTTGGAAGCCAAATCAAAGATGTTGGAAGCCAAATCAAAGATGTTGGAAGCCAAATCAAAGATGTTGGAAGCCAAATCAAAGATGTTGGAAGCCAAAGCAGAGGAAATTCTATAATAAATTAATTTAAATACAAAAATTAGAAAACATACCACTTGCTTAATTTCCAAATCAAAAATTTCTGACATCCAATTTTCACTTAGTTGGTCCATGCTATATTCAACTTCAAAATAAGCAATACCTAAATAGTGATTGAAAAAAATCAGAACAAAAGATTACAAAAAGTATCTATCAGATATTTTTTTTGCTAGTTTAAAATTTACAGGATTTCTTATTTTATTTGCTTATTTATTCTATTAAAAAAAAAAAAAAAACTTGTTGTTCTTATATGTAATCATAATTAGTAACCAATAAAATAATTCAAATACCTTAAGGTGTTTATAATTGTTTATATGAAAATGAAATTATGTGAATTTTTCTTATAGTAAAGACTGGTGGTATACATCCCAAAAATTCATTATTATTATTATTGTTGTTATTATTATTGTTATTATTGTTATTTTGATATCATTACTATCACCATATTACATCATTATTAATAGAATCATTATTACCATCATTATTGATAACATTATTTTTATTGCTACTATCAATTACTAGCAATTACTACTGTTATTATTTGCCCCCATGGATTTGAACAAATGGTATTAACATTTTGATGACAAAAAATTTGTCTTGGAATAAACACAGCTTATTAAAAAAAAAACTTTTTTTTTATTTACAATTATGATTTTGAAATTAACCAAATTTTGTTTACTTTATACATGCAGCCCAATTATTTTGACAAATTTTTTTTTGTTTTTATATATATGAAGTGGAATGCAGGGAATGTCCATTACATTGTTAGCTGTAATATTAAAATAAAATTATTAAAAAATCAGAGAATAAAAAGAGGAAGTATGTGAAATAAAAAGAACATGAAATTGAAAGAACAAAAAAAAATTTTAATCCAACTCAGAATTTTGTTCCCAATTGTTGTAAGCAAAACCTCCAAATATATAATTATCTGGTTTTTGCTTGTTCAAACCTATATATTTTGTAATAGGATCAATGTGGTAGGTTAAGAATAATACATTTGTGACTGTGATATATCAAATATTTTTTGCAATCTGGTTTTGTTGCATGCCCCAATTTAGAACCACCTGATTTTGTAAATTCATTTGGTTAAAATTTTGAAACAATGTGATTGGTTCAGCAAATGACCCAAATGACTTGTCATTTGTCATCACTGCTTGTAATACGCGAAAAATGATGACGCCAAAATTGAAGGATTTGTCATGTGCAATAAATGAAACCTTTTTGGAAAAGTTGCATAAAAATGGATATCCAGATATGGGTAACGTAACAATAAAAAAATTTATTATTATAATAAAAGGTTATAAAAGACACGAACTTTTCCAGAAAAAAAATAATTAAAAAAATTAAAGAATTAAAATATTTGGTCAAACAATAATTAATAATCATGGACTATACATTACGCTTGTCAAACACAAATCATACAAGTCATTCACCAGTTAGAGGTCATTTTGGAGGTTTCGTTTTGCCGATTCATTCTTCTACAAATAACACAAATAACTCCAATATCAATAACAATGTTAATCTTAGCAATAATCCTAGCAATATGATGGGAGGAAGAAAAAGGATTAGAAGTGATAGTATGAGTAGGGTTGACCAAGCTCAGGTATAAATATAATAGTAGTAATAATAGTAATAATAATATTTTTATTGTATATTTTTATAAGAATTTCCATAACATATTTATTATTTTTATTTTTATTATTAGAAAGTTATACGATTATTATCACGTAATTCTTTATCTTCAAATAAGACAAACAATAATTGTTTGACCGAGAGTTATCAAGATCGAATGAACTTAGTTGATAATAATGATGATGACAAATTTAAATTAATCTCATCATTATCACTTGCTTCTTCTTCTTCTCTAATGGATTGTGACAAGCAACAAAATAGTTTGAATGAAGAGTTAGGCGAGGAAAATATGGTAAATTATTTGATTAAGAATAAATTATGAACACTTGCTAATTTTGAATGTTTAACCATGTCAATTAATAGGTAACAAATTCATTGTCATCACCAACAACTTTAACATCACAATTAACACCACGTCTTCAATCTTCTCTTAACAATAATAACATTAATCATCATAATCATCATCAACATCATAATAATAACAATAGTCATCATCATCAACGTCAACATTACCATCATCGTCAATTCATTAATTCATCATCGTGTATAGCTTTTACCATGGGACCACGAAATGACTGTGAGAAATGTCAACAACGTGTTCGAGGTCATTTTATTCATGTTATTCATTCATCTAACAATAACAATAACAATATCAATAACAATAATTAGCGTTTATATATAATAGAATTAGAAACTACTTTAGAAAAACAATAATAATATAATGACTATAATAATGTCTAGATTATTAAAAATATTTTATGCTTAACTATTTTTTAAAAAGCTAATAAAAACATTAATTTGAAAAAAAGAAATATTCTTATTATCACCTTGACATAAAATAAATAGTGAATAGATTTTATAAGATTTAGAAATAAAAACCATTTAGAATAATAATAATAATAACAATAATTAGAATTTAGATCTAGAAGAGAACTTCTTTTTATTGATTAGTTAGTTTCATAATTAATTGGTTAGTTATTTGCTAGGTTTTTTGAATGACCTATCAATAATCTTATTCAATTCAGAACTATGTTGATAAATGTGCACATTAATAATGATAATATTATTATTATTTGGTTTTCGTTTTAGGATTTTTTTTCTTTCGATGATCAATGAATAATGTATAATAATAATTATTATTATTATATCATTGAAAAAGATTTGTTCTTTTAAATAATTTTGATAAAACACGAATAATAATGGGTAATATAAAGTCAAATCTTTCCTTTATTATTATTCAAATTTAAAATTAACTGAATAGTTGGGAGATTGGAAATAAAGAACACACAAGAAGCAAGAGAGGAAGTAACGGCCATGTGAAAAATTCCAATCGTGAGATTGAGATATACAAAGTTTTTTTATTGAGAGCGTAGTTTGCGAGCTCTATAATAAACTATTGTCCCTACTTGAAGAATCCACGATACATATGTACAAATAAATGTTTATTAAATCCATTCGATCATCTTTCCAAGGATGTCTTGAAGAGAAACCCTGTTCGGAATTTGAACGTTACTACATTGGGTATCCGTGTAATAGATAGATCCTTGCGACGCCGGGAGCAACAATTTCCGCATTAATATCCGGCATTAGGGTGGAATCGAAAAAATTATAATAAAGCTCCCTTGGCCCTCATTTCAGACTATTGGAAAGATAACGGTCGTTCTTTTAATGAAGTAATAAAATCATTATATGTAGAGATGTTCATAACAGAACAAGAGCAAATAAAACTTCTTTACATTCAGCAGAGGCAATATTAAGCAAGCATACCTGCTTGACCTTCATGATAGATCAACAATAAATGCTTTTAAAAAGGTTCTTATTTTGAACCAATTTTAGAATATTTAACTACAAAAACAAGTTTATTTTTATTAGAATATTTTCATCAGGAAAATCAAGTGCAAAGGCCCAAAAAAAAAATACCTGCAGATTAACCACATTAGGTGAAAATGTAAAATGTAAAATATCTTTCATCAGATCCTAGATTGTGCGATAAATGCGAAAGAACTTTCGAAGATGATGAAGGAGACTTTATCTGACGATTTTTCATCAACTGGTCCACATAATCCCAAATCTGTAATATAACAATTACCTCCTTGCAATAATATATTACCACTATGTAAATCACTATGGATTAAATCTTTTTCATGTATTGAATCTAATGCATCACATAAATAAAGAAAGATTGTAATTCTGTCTTTTAATGTTAAATTCAAATGACCTTTTTTTCAGATAATCTCTTAAATTTCGGAGTATAATTTAAAACCATTGCATAATTTCTATTATCTGAGAATTTAGTTACACCATAGCATCAACAATCAATCCTGATTTAATTTTACAATAAATTGTTGTCTTAAATTGAAACCAATTAGTATTATATAATACAGTATATACTGTATAGTACTGATTTAAATAACAACTACCAACCTCATCAAAAAAGCCTTTTCCTGGATCGCTTGAATTATTTAAACTTTTTAATACTACATACAGTCAACCCCCTCTCAATGCACACTCTCTCTAAATGCACGTTCATGAGAAATAGTGATATGTTCCCAAGGAGGGTGCACTTAGAGGGGGTTGACTGTATTGCCTTCCACAATAACTAAATTCTTTTTATTTTCATCATAATCAATAACAGTTCCTCTTGTCCATACTGTAGTATAAATTGAACTAAATCTAATTAACTTTCAAATTGCTCAAAAGGTATCCATTCTAAAATCCAATTTGGCAGAGATGAAAGGATTTGGCATTGTTGAATAAAATCATCAACAATGTTATCTCCAGATGTTCAGGTAGTGAAAAGACTCTAATTGTAAAACTAATACAACCTTCACAGAATCTATCAGAGTATCTCATCAATTTACATTTGTTACATTCTTTTAGTTTGCCCTTTTTATTCTTTGCATTCTATAATTCATCACCATAAATAAACTTTTCTTTACAATATTTTTTTTTCATTTTCAGAAAGAAGCTTTTTTTTTTTGACTAATGAAAAATAATAATCTTTTCTACTTTCTTCATCAGAATTAATTAGAGCATTATTATACATTTCATTATCAATTTTAAATACAAATTCACTTCTTTCTCGTGATAATATGACATTATATAAAAATATAAAATATGAAACTTGACTTGGTGTTTTAATAAATAGAGTGGAGAAAATGGGGGGTTTTGAGTATAAAAGTTACAATACGGTCAGAACTCCATAAGTTCACCCTCCATAAATGCACACCCTCCATAAATGCACGTTGTCCCTCATTCCCGAGGGGGGTATGTAAAGTCACGTTTTCAATTGACAAAAATAATAACTTTGTAATTACTTCAATACCCATAGATTTTTATTAGAAGTATGGAAAATTAAATAATAACTTTCATTCCATCAAAGAAAATTTATTTACATAATAATATTCAAATAAACTTTGTAATTGTACGTATAATAGGAAAAAAACCATAGTTACTACTTTGGCCATCTAGATAACTTTGATACCCATTCTAAGTATTGCATTAAAAAGTAATCTTGCTGTAATAAGTTAGATTCATCATTAAGATTTTGAGCATCTTGAACTTCTGATAGGACTTCATTTAAAGAAATATTTTCAAGAAATGCTCCTTTTTTTTACTTCCTCTTCATAAATTATTTATTTTTTAGTCGAGTACTTGTCTGTTCGATAAAAATAACCTTTTCACCAAACATTGTCCACATAAAAGTCTTTTTGACCAATTTTTTCTAAATCCTTGATTATTAAGTTAGTTTCCTCAAAAATTTCTACGAGTTTGAGAACTAACGGTATTTTAAAATGATGAATTTAATGATGTTTCTAGGCTTAGAGTAGGACTACAAATATAACAATCATGATTGTTGTGACCTTTTAATTCTGGACCAATAGCATAGTTTTTGATAAGTGGAATAAATGAGTTGATCTGATAAATAAAAGAAAAAACAGATTTATTTCTAGTTCAGGATTTATTCAGCTAATTGATTGGGTTTTCCTGCAAAAATAATATAGAAACATGTCCTATTAAAGCTGTGTTGACTTCAAAGAAAGGTTTGTCAAAGTCTTCTATGCCATTAATGAATTGGTGCAATACAAATGTGTCCAGAGTCACATTGCCATATTTTTCTGTTTAATCATATTCTCAAGGAAGACAAATTATCATCAACACTTGAGTTAACATTTACAAGTTGAAGCTGACTACTATCTGACATTTCAATGAACATAAATTATTATTTTTAATTAATTATGACAAAATAATTCCCCGTCACAAAAACATTTTATTATTATTAACAAGGGATGCAATTATTGCTCCAGGTAAAAATTTTTTTTTGAATTTTACAATATTTATACTATATAAATAAATATAAAATAA